AATTCTTAGAATTCATATGAATGAGTGAGAGTAAAGGAGTAACTGGTGTGAACTACGCATTCTGCACCTAAGCCTCCACCCTTCTCTAGGACTAGGCAGGAAGTATCAGGGTAAGGAGCAAAAAAGGAAAGAAATGGAATGGTTTTCTTTTCCACTCTCCATCGAAATGAAAAATGTGAGAAGCAAAAAGTGTCTCCTCCCTCCTATGTATCTGTCAGCACATTTCCAGGAGGCCTGGCCACATCCCGGGCACTGGCTGGCTGGGGAACAGAGACTGACAGAGCACATTTGCTGGCGTTGGAGCCCTCGCCTGGGTGGTCTGCTGTTATCCCTTTGATTAAACTCCCAGGCTGGAAGAGCTGGAGCTGCTCCTAATGATAGCTGGGTCCTGAAATCTCACACTGGGCCGCACAGAGAGGGCTGGTGCGCCCTCCGATCGCCCGCCTCCCATCCTCACCACAGAGCTGGGCTACTTGGCCACCTTCTTTTGCTCCCTAACGGCGATGACCACAAAGGGCTAGGTCTGTGCAGAGTGCTGCAGCTGTACAGAGCACCTCTCTCCCAGCACTGAGTGGGGCAGACACAGTGAGCTCTCACACTAAAGCTACTTCAGCATCCTGCCACAGTGCTCCCCCGCCACAGGCGAAAGATGTTTCTGGAAAACCCAGCTTTCAAGGATGTACATGCTGATTTCCAGAGGGTCCCATCCCCTGCTCTCTGCTCAGATTTGTAAGGTATTTGTTGAACAACCACATGTTAAGAACACGTATCTCTTCCTATTTCAAGCACACTCGTGCTGGCACAAATATTTCTGAAGGGGACACTGTGGCTACTTGGTGTGGCAAGGAAAGTTTCAAATTCTTAGGTGTTCTAGACTATAAACAAAGTTAAATCACAGCAGAAGTAGTAAAAGCAATGACAAGGTAACTGAGGTTATGTTTTTAGCCATATGAATTCATAAGAATCTAGCCTCTAATGTAAATTCTGGGTAATTCAAAGTTTTATTGTCAAATTTTGGGGTTGTTAGAGTCCTTTGCTTCTTTACTTTTGGCTAGTTCATTGTTCCTCAGCATCTTCACCAGTGAGCTGGGAGGGAAAAGGGGGTGACAGGGCTTCATCCTCCAGCCATCCTCCTCCCAGCTACTTGAGTGATCCAGCTAAAAGGCAAAGCCGGCGGTGTCTCAGGGCGCCCCCTCATCTCCGACATGATGGGGCATTCGAAGCTCTGCGTGATCAGCCCTTGTCTTTTCGTCCCGCCTCCCTCCTAACTGCTCCCTGCTGGCGCCCTGTCCTCAGCACCAGGCACCAGCTTGCTGTTTCCCACATATACACTAACTAGCTCTCATCCTGGAGCCTGGCCTGCCCTTCCGCTGCACCCACCTGCCTACCGTGAAGATTCAGTTTGGGTGTCATCTCCTCCACGAAGGCTGCGTGGGCCTTCTTCCCACTCCCACCCACAGGCTGGATGAGGTACTCCTTTTGGTGGTTTCGTTACTGCCCAGAAATGTCTGTCATGCATATTCCAGGCTGGAATTACCATGTATTTATGCAACTGTCGCCCTTGCCAGGTCGTGAGTTATTTCATGTTGAGGACTAAGTCTTCTATCATCTCCATGGCTTCCTACTCAAGCCTGAAACACTCTTGAGGAATGTTTTAAATGAAGAAATTTCAAAAAGACATCTGAAGAAAAAGTTTTTATGAGAATGCTACTAAAACCTTTAATGGGCTAAGTAGCTGAAATTGTGGACAATTTGATTTTCTAGAAATACCCAAGGATTTCAATTTTTAATACTTATCTTCAAAAATAGTATAATTTAAAATCAGCTTTCCTTATTTAGTAGAAGGTCTCTTAACACCATGCTCGGAAAAGCAATGTAAAGATATATCAGGGTTGGCCGAGTGGTGCGTTGGTTAGGAGTTGGCTTGGGACACCAGCTCTGAGCAGCAGGGCCCCGGTTCAAATCCCACATGAGGGCCAGTGACGCTGCGCCCCCTACGGCTAAGGTGGTGAACAACAGCTCTACCTGGAGCTGGGCTGCCCTGAGTCACCGGCGACAGCATAGGCTGCAGTGGGGCTGGCCAGCAGTGGGCATGAGCTTTCGTGAGCTGCCGTGAGCCACCGTGAGCTGCTGTGAGCGGCCATCCAGGGGCCAGTGGGTGACTGCCTCACCCGGGAAGAGCGCAATGATAATACCAACACGGGCCAGTGAAGCGATGTCCTCCACAACTAGACTGAAAAACAAAAGAACAGCAACTTATCTGTTCCCCTTCCCCAATTCCTCAATGCTGTTCCCCTCCCCCAATTCCCCAATAAAACCTTAAAAAAAAAAGATATATCAGAGTTTGTGTGATATAATTAAAGCAATGTTCAGAGGAAAATTCATAGCTTTAAATATAGTAACAAACAAGAATGAATGAAAATAAATTAAGTACCCAACTCAAGAAACTGGAAGGAAATAACAAAATAAAGCTAGAAAAAGCAGAAGAAATAAATTAAAGATAAAACAAGAAAAAAAACACACTAGGAAACAACAGAATGAATACATACATCCAGAATTATCTTATCAAAAAAAGGGAAGGGGGGAAAAATATTCACTAAGGCTATTACGTATATGAAAAAAGAAAACATAAACACAAAATAAAAACTGAAAATAATTTCAGGTAAGAGGAAACCAAAAGAATTTAAAGTGATTACTGGTCACGAAGTAGTTTCTGGTGAAGCTAAGTTTAAGTTTTCAGGCCCCAAGTCCAGAGAGAAAAGTAGAGCCCCAACTCCTTTCTGTTTGGAAGCCTGCCTCTCACTAGAAAGCCATAGACACTGTATCACTTGCCTCAGTAAGTAAGAAACTAAGGCAGCGAGTAAGAAACTTTATTCCACCATAACTAGGAAAAAAAGGAAGCAGCTGGTAAACCATGTACCAAAGCCTATTTAAGTCATTATAACATGTTATTAGTTATTTCCCAGAAAAAGTACAATAAACAGCAGAATTTTCCAAATTCCAAATTAAGGAATTATTTCCTTAATTCCTTAGGGGAAGGGACCAAATAACATATAACTGAGCTTTTCAATAACCAAATTCATTTTGGTAACATGACATTTTATCCCCAAACTTACTTTTTCAAATCAAATTAGAAATCATTTACTGTAAAAACCTTTTATGGCTGAAGTAACAATATTTTCCAAGTATACTGCATTTAGACTTCAAAAAGGTTTTTGCATACTATCATCCTGATGCTGTTGTATTTACCCTGACGACAAATAAAAGACCCTGAGGTTGAGAGAAGTGGAGTGAATTTTCCAGAATCACCCCGCTAGCGTGTCAGTGACAGAAGAAGGCGGGTCTTCAGATGGCTAATTCTGCTCTTTTCCCACCCCTCCCACCCTGCTTGTTACATACTAAAGCACCTCCCTCAGCAATGTACCAAGTACTACCCACCCTACTGCCAAGACTCTAAAATTTAAGACTGACATCTAATGGCAAGTTCAGATCCCTACGAAGAGGAGCGTGACAGACTTCTATCTCACTGTCACTGAAATTCTTCTTAGATGAGAAAGATGTACTAATGGGGGTGATGGGGGAGGGGGGGGGAGGTGGCTTCCCAATTAGGATACAATCATCTTGGATTCCCACGAGACCAGTATCCTGTCATTCTGCAAGGTTTGCAATCTACCAAATGATAGGAGTCGAAAATATGTGAACACCAAAATTGGCTATGTTTTTTTTTTTACTACAATTGCAAAGAAAAAAAATGTTCGTCATGGTGCTTCTAGCCGCTCTTTTGTAAACTGGAAACATGTACTCTAGTCAATGACCGAATGAATCAATGCACAGCGGATCAGCAGCCCTCTCCCTTCCTCATAACCACTTCCCATTTCAACACTCCTCCCCATTCTGCCACGATCGGTCACGATAGCCTACTGCCTCTTCCCGTCATTCTACTATTTACATTCTAGTAAAATCTACCTCTCCAACTCCCTTCAATTCTCAACACTGTCCTTGTAAGGTTCACATCAGGCCGCCTCATCTACTCGCTTCAAACCATCAGGGACTTGAAAAAGAAAATTAATTGCAGCCTCACACACCGGGATGAAAGCTCACCTTTCATTTGGGTCCCAAGTTTTACACAGAGACAAGCAGGGCACCACCAGGGAGCAGTGTGTTGCCTACTTTTAGCATGTACTTGAAGTAATTTTCAGCTTAAGGAATTTGACACAACAGAGATACAGCAAAATAGAGCTGTGGAGTTAAGTTACAATCATTTCTTTAGAGGACTTTAATGCCATTTTGCTTTAAGGAAAAGGGGAAGAAGTGGCTTCTATCTCCAGTTAAATATCGTGGGAATAATCAGCAAGGAGGCAAAAAGAATCCCAAGGCTCATTTTCACTTAGCCTCGTTGTGCTGTAAGCTTCTTCTCTAACTTAAAGCAAATATCCTGGTATCTATTTCCATCGACCCAGCTTTCCGGATGACCTTGATTCTATTTCTTTCAGCCTCAGCTTCCCCCATCTGTAAAATGGGGAGAATGATGTTTTTGACAAGGGTACCTGAAATACGTCATTAAACAGTACCCATAAAACATCCTGAGGTCATGAGATGAAAGGGTATAGAAAACAAAAAGGAAAAAGGGAAAGGCAATGGTATGCATTGTGGTAAGAAGATTTATAAGACTAGAACTCACTGGAAAATTTTACCAAAGAAAGAAGCTATTTTTAAAGATCCTTTAAAAGCACATTTACAGCTGAACGTTCAAGGCTGTTTATCCACGAAATAAGTACATCAGAGCCAGCAGCGGACTTACCTTCACAAGACCTGTAACAGAAACTCATTTTCTTTCAAGTTGAAGAGAAACACTTTCATTCTTTAGCTCAAAACCAGCTCGAACTCATTCAACAGGCATCAGCATAAGGGAATTAGTAAAGACAGGGAGGGACAGAGTACCCTGTCCTTAATTCCGCCTCAGGGCCAAAGAGCCCTCTGGCACCCCAAGCTGTCCATACCTGCTGCGTGAGGAGGCTGATGTGAGTGGATGGAGAATACTGCCTTGCTGCCTGCTTCTCAGCTAGCCGCTGAAGTTCAGCCGAAACCATATGTTGGCTGTACCGTCTGCTGTACGAAGGGCCATCTTCTCCCTCCTTCTGTGTTTTGGCTACTCCTGAATGCTGCTTGTTTGGATGGCATGAACCTGCTATAAAAGAGAAAAGTTTTCTCTCACTTAGGAAAATAGCCCTGAAAAACTTACCGTATTTGCCGGCGTATAAGACGATTTTTTGCCGCTGAAAAATATGCCTCCAAGTGGGGGGTCGTCTTATACGCCAGGTACACTTCAGATAGACTGCCCATAGTGCTTGCCCCGTGCCATAGTGGCCTCCCGATGCCCGCCCACTTCATTCCACATACCGTTCAGGCATCAGCAGCGCTGCTGGGTGTATGCTCGGCTGTTATGCGATTTTGCTGTTATGCGATTTTACCACACTCGCAAAATCGCACACAGCCGACCATATAACAAACTCTGTATTTTGAGTGGAAATGTTAGGGGGTCGTCTTATACGCCGAGTCGTCTTATACGCCGGCAAATACGGTAGGATGGTGACAGAGAAATATCAGCTGACAGGTGCTTTACCGAATCCTAAGGATCTCTGACAACCTAAGGAGTAATAAACTATCTTCTGATGCTAAAAACTAAAATCCTTACTATACCCTAAAAAGTCTTCCTATTGCCAAACTGCTACATGCATTTGTTAATGTGTTTTTGCTTATTATGAGAGTTTCACAAAGAAGAATTTTCACCCTGAGTAGTGAAAAATAACCAATCCTAGAATTTACTAATCTTGAACAAAAAAATGTAGCCTTGAAACTCATTATAATTCTTATTTTTTCTGGTTATGTGACTGTACTTGTCAGTAGTCTAAGATCCACTGTCAAATCACCCACAATCCTTCTAATATCACAGAGTTCTATTATTTTTGAGCACTGAAATTCTGTCAAAAAGAAATTATTTAATATAAAATCAAGGTTCAGGGGTGATCAAATAGCTCAGTTGGTTAAAGCAACGTGTTGATTGAACCAAAGTTGCCAGTTCAATCCCCACATGGGCCACTGAGCTGCACCCTCCTTAAAAGAGTCAACTATGCCATTGTAGCATGAATGCAATGTGTAATCAATGACCATGGTTGTTCCCAATAAAGTTTAAAAAATTAAAGTTCATATTTTTTCTATGATAATCACACATCCTATTGAAAAAAGTTAAAATACCCAGAAGAATAGAAACAGTATAATGTGTTTCCTTTCTGTCTTATGAATGCTTCTATAACTGTGATCATTCTGTATATACAATTTGGTGACCATGCTTTAAAAATTATAACTTTTCCATGTTTACTTTTATGTAACACATACAAAATATTACTTACAACAAATATATGTTATAAAGCATTTTATAATAACACCTGTGAGCTTATTACCCAACTCAAGAATCACATTACCAATTAATGTGCATCAACCCACGTGTTCCCCCATCTCTTATCTCCCGTTATCACTCACTCCCTTTCTTTTTAAAAATATAGTTTTATGTGTTTATGTGTGTATTTGTGTGTATGCATAAACAAAATACTAGTTAATTTTGCTTGTTTCTGAGCTCTGTAAAAGTGATATCTTACTGTATGTAGCAGCTTCCTGGGACTTGATTTTGTGATTCAATACCATACTACCAAGATTCATCCTTTCTAAGCAGAACTGAAATTTACTAACTTTATCTGCTGCTTGGCATTCCATTTTGCAAATACACTACAACTTATTTTTTCCCATGAATGGACATTTTGGTCACTTCAAGTTTATTGCTATTCTAAACAGTACAGCCACAAATGCTCTCGCATACATCTCCTGGTGTCCATGTGGGAGGACTTCTCGTGTGTAAATCCCTAGGAGTGGGATTGTTAGGTCATAGGGTAAGTTGAGTCTTCAATTTATGTGCTAATACCAAAGTGGTATTTTTTATGCTCCCACAAACCAAATATGGAGTTCCTACTGATCCACATCCCTTTCCAACACTTAGTTTTGTCAAGCATCTTAATTCTCCCCTAAGAGGGTATCAAATCTCACTGTAGTCTTCACTTACACTCATCTGATTAATAATGACATTGAGTGAGCATCTGTAACTCTTTTCTAGTATCACTGGTCATGTTTCTATTGGGTTCTTTTTTTCTCGATTTATAGGCATTTTGCTTATGTTTTTACTTTTGCCTCTTATTAGAAGATCTTAAAGATAGTCTCCTTTATATTATTCTAGAAGTTTGAAGTTTTGCATCTGAAACCGATTTTATATGTAGTGTGAGGCAGGGATCTACGTTCATGTTTCCTGGATGTTGCACCATTTATTGAGAAACCCATTCTTTTCCACTGTCTACAATGCCAGCTCTGTCATATATCCAAGTTCCACCTGTGTGATTGTTTCTAACTTTCTATTCTGTTCCACTGGTCAACTGGTCTGTACCTTGGCCAATATTACACTGTCATAATTATCCTATCTTTGTATTAAGGCTTAATAAGGTGCTCCTCTACCTTATTTTTCTTCTTTAGTAGGTTTTCACAATTTTTGGCCTTTTGCCTTTTCATTATCATTTTAGGATAGGCTTGTCAAGTACAACATGAAAACTGTTGAGATTTTGATTGGAATTGTATTGACAGTAGATGCCACAGACTACTGACAAGTACAGTCACAGAGATCAATTCGATGACAACTGAAACATTTATGATACTGAGTCTTCCTATCCACGCACATAGTCCATTTATTTGTTTATATAGGTTTTTTCTAATGTCTCTCACCAAAGTCTTATAAAATTTTCTTATAAAAGTCTTTCCTAAATTGATCCACAGATAGCTTATCCATGGGTAAAATAATAAATCACAACAAACATTTTTTAACTGACTAGCTTCTTCTGCTCCCTATGCTTCTGTGGGAAAGTATGAAAAAGGTTAAAAAAAAGTTTTGATGATAACACAGGGTACTGAAGACAGTGACATTACAGAAAATTTTTCTCACACGGGAGAAAAAAGTTCAAATCACAACATTATCATTATCATTACTACTGACTTTAGAAGATTAAATCATAAGAATCACCCAGAATTAGCATAGACACACATGCACATATTCATATTTACAACTTATTGAAGTGAACCTTTTAATATATCTGATTCAAGCTGCGTGTTATAATATCCATTTCACTTGAAATCAGATACTGATTAAGAAACAGATTGGCTATTTACAAAACGTAGCTTAGGTGTAACTCACCATAATATGGATATTACTAAAGTCTTTAAAAACTTGACCAATTTTAAGACACTCCCCAATCTACAGATTAAACATAATCCCAATTAAAATCCCATCTGCCTATTTTTGCAAAAATTGACATGCTGATCCTAAAGTACATATGAAAATTCAAGAAACCCAAAATAGCCTAAACAATATAAAAAAAGAACAAAATTAGAAGAATCACCTTTGGTGTTTTCAAAATTTACTACAATGCTATATAGTAATTAAGATAATGTGGTGCGGACATAAGGGCAGACATAGAGATCAGTGGAATAGAATTGAGAATCCAGAAATAAACCCTCACATTTATGATAAAATGACTTTTGACAAGAGTGCCAAGATAATTCAACAGGGAAATAACACTCTTTCAAATAATGGTGCTGGGACAACAGAATATCCACAGGCAAATAAATAAATGAATAAATGAATGAATAAATAAAGTTAGACCATCATACAACACCATACACAAAAATTAACTCGAAATGGATAAAAGATCTACATGTATACTATAAAACTCTTGGAGAAAACATATATAAATCTTTGTGACCTTGGGTACACAGTATTTTTTTCATATATACCAAAACACAAGAAAAGAAAAAACAGATAAATTAGACTTCATCAAAATTTAAAACTTTTGTGCTTCAAGAAAATGAAAAGACAACCAACAGAATAGAATGGGAGAAAATACTGGGTTGTCAGAAAAGTCATGACGTATTTTTGTCTCTGTTTTTCAAAGGTCATTTATTTATATAAAGAAAAAAGATCAATCAATGATATACTGCCTGTTTTGTTCGATAACCTTATGCCATCTTTCAGTGAGCTTCATAATTCCTCGTTCATAGAAGGATCTGTCTTTATTTGCAAAAAACTGAACAAGGTGCTGATTTACAGCCTCATCTGAATTGAACGTTATACCACCCAAGGAGTTTTGAAGACAGCGAAACAAGTGGAAGTCTGACGGCACAAGGTCAGGTGAGTATGGTGGGTGTGGCAACACATCCCATCCAAGCTCCAATCATTTTTGACAGGTGATCAAACTTGTGTGTGGTCTCGTGTTGTCGCGATGGAACACAACTCCTTTACAATTAACAAGCTCTAGATGTTTCTGAATGATGGATTCGTTCAAACTGTCCAATTGCCGACAATACACATTTAAAATGATTGTTTGGTTCCTTGGTAAGAGCTCAAAAAACACGACACCTTTAACATCCCACCAAACTGAGAGCATAACCTTCCTCTGATGAATGTCTGCTTTCGATGTCATTTGAGGTAAATCATCACGTTGGGACCAAGACCGTTTGCACACCACATTGTTGTGAACAATCCACTTCTCATCACCAGTTATCAGTCGCTTTGAAAAGGATCATTTTCCTCACGTTTAATGAGCATATTGCAGATGTTTATACGTGCCGTCAAATGAACTTCTTTGAATTCATGCGGAACCCAAATATCGAGCTTGTTTATGTATCCCAGCTTCTTCAGGTGGTTGTGAACGCTTGAATGATGGATGTTCAATGTTTCTACTATCTCTTGTGTTGTGTTATGTGGGTTTGACGCGATCAATGCCTTTATTTTGTGGTCATCAACCTTGGTGGGCCTCCCTGACCGAGGAGCATCACTGAGATCAAAATCACCAGCACGGAATTTCATGAAGCATCGATGGCACTGACATTCTTGTAGAGCATTGTCACCATAAACTTTATGCAACTTTTCACAAGCTTGATGTACATTCTTCCCTTTATGGAAGTAAAACAGTAAAATATGGCAAAATGCAGTTTGGTCTTCCATCTTCAACTTGTTGTAAAATCTCCAAAACTCAACCAAATCGCTCAAGTTTTTTTTTTAGAATGAAGCTAGAACTGTCAGCTGTCTAATGACATAGCAATAACAATGATGCGAATGACTCTAGTACCTCCAAAAACTAGTGCCATCTGTCACAAACATGCATCATGACTTTTCCGACAACACAATATTTCTAAATCATGTATCTGACAAGGGACTTGTATCCAGAATATATAAAGAACACTTATAACTCAACAATAAAAAGATAAATATCCCAATTTAAAAATGGACAAAGTGTTTATAAACATTTACTCCAAGAAGACATACAGATGACCAACAAGCACATGCAAAATGCTCAACATCGTTAGTCATTAGGGAAATGCGAATGATAACCACAAAAATGAGACACTACTTCAGACCCACCAGGATGAATAAAATAAAAAAGTCAGACAATAATAAGTGTTGACAAGGATATGGAAAACTTTGAACCTTCATACACTGCTAGTGGTAAAATAGTATAGTCACTTTGGAAAACAGTTTGGAAGTTTCTTAAAAAGAGGAAATATAAATTTAGCATATGACCTAGCAATTCTACTCCTAGGTATACACCCAAGAGAAATGAAAACATAGGTACACACAAAAATTGTACATGAGTGTTCACAGCAGCATTATTCATAGTAGCCAAAAAGTGAAAATAACCCAAGTATCTATCAACTGATAAATGGATAATCAAAATGTGCTACATCCATCCAATGGAGTATTATACATCCATAAAAAGGAATAAGTACTGATACATGCTACAACATGGATGAACCATGAAAACATTATGGTAAGTGAAAGAAGCCATTTACAAAAGACTACCAATTATATGATTTTACTTACATGAAATGTCCAGAATAGACAAATTATTATAGAGACAGAAAGAGATTAGTGGTTGCCAAAGGCTAGTGGGAGGAGAAAACGGACAGTGACTTTTAAAAGGTATGGGGTTCCTTTTGGGAAAATGAAAATGCTCTAAAATAAAATAGTAGTGTGTCATAACTCTGGGAATATACTAAAAACCACTGAATTATATATCTTAAAGGGGTGAATTTTATGGTAGGTGAATTATATGTCAATAAAGCTGTTATTAAAAAATTGGGGGGAAAATCTTGACTGATAATATGGGTCTACTTCATTTAAAATTAGATACCCTATTTTAAGAATTCTTTGGTTATGTATTCAGGTCACACCTGACTTTCAATACACTGAAAAATAAAACAGTACTAATTTGATGTCAGAAATAACTTTTTCAATCAGAAAGAATGCATATAGCACACTCATCGGTCTATGATTATCTACGATGGGAAATCTCTTGACTAGACTGTAAAATGCTAGTAAATAGAAGGCTTGTCTTATCCGTTTCTTTATCCCCAGCACCTAAAAGAAGTCCTGCTTTATTTTGTATCGATGAATGGATGCTAGTGGACCAAACGCAAGACTTTTCCTTAGTCACATCAGAACAATGCAGAGTGTGTCCCTTTACTTTTCAAAAGAAAATGCGAATGGGAGAGATGACATTCCGTTTTCACTGGGGATGGGAAAGGGCTGGCATTTCAGGCTGCTTTTCATTTTCTCACTCACCTGCCTTTGCTGAAGAGGGACGAGACAGTTTCTGGCTATAGATGTGCGCAGCACTTTGGAAAGAGGAAAAGGGGCCAGTGGTGTAACTGCCTGATCGACAGCGTGGCGGGCCAGCGGGGCTTGGTATATTCTGGGTCCCAGGATGTAAAGAGGGAGCAGCACTGTCATGGACTGTGCTCAGTAAAACCGCTGGCTGGTGAGGCATGCTGGGGATGGCTGGAGGAAACTGAGGTAAAGAATGGTGGCCAGGCCCTGGTGAGAGCTCAGAGGGGGTGATTATAGATGACAAATGGGTGTTGGGAATTTTCTGCAGAAGAGTAGCAGCAGGACCAGAAAGAGAAGTAGAGGAAGAATTGGTATAGACTAATTTAGCCTCTTTTTCTGCTGAAGTGGTAAATCCTAGTAAAACAAAAACAAACAAAACAAAACAAAAACAGATCATTGTAAGAAAAACTGACATATACTCTAGAACACACGAAGTAAACATTTTTAAACATCAAAATAATCTTATCATGAAACAGAAATCATGAAAAATACAGACTTTAACGAGGATCCATCATGAACATAATGAATTTGCCTACAGAGACACCTGGCAACAGAAATCGTTTCTTTTTAGTCCTTTCTAAAAGCTGGAGTTGGGACTACCTCCATCTGCCAGAGCAGGAGTTTTACAAAGGTTAGGGCATCAGGACCAAGTTTCCGGCAGTGACAGCTAACTCCTTTCTCTCTGCTTTTCACCCTTCTAAAAAAGTGCTCAGAATTTCTAAACATTAAAGTGAGAAATTCCTTGAAAGGAAAACAGGTGATCAGTAGAACAGAGGAAATTCTAAGGGAAAAGGAAGAACAAAGAAAAGGAGCATCTTTGTGGCAATGTCTCATGCTCTAGAATCATTTAATATCTGATGACTTTCTTGTTTGTTTTAGAGATTTATCAGAGAGCAGCAAATCTATGTAGTTCGAAGTCACTCACGAGATAATTTATCAGAGTGGATTTCTGTTGCCTGTTGCTGTTTGGGCTGCTTTATCTTCACTTCTTCCATCGTCTCAGGGTGATCTACAATAAAAAATAAATACTGACCTTAGGCTCTCCTACAAGTCAAATGCTAGGGCATCACTCTGCACATAATTTTGTTTCCAAAATATAACATAACCAGTAACCAATTCTAGGAACCATTGCTTATCTCACTACACTTTTCTAAGGGTGGCCACACCCACTGCCCCATTGAGTGGACAACCAACCAAATAATTCTCAACTATCCTCAACCCCAACTCCAGCTAACTGAACTAGGGAAAGATACTTAAAGCCAGGGTAGCCATCCATGCACTGCCAACAAGCCTGGAAAAGAAAGTAAGTAAGGGCAGTCAGATGCCTCTGCCAAGAATTCAGACTAGGGAAACAAGAGACCAAGCTGACTGGTGGTACCCACTGAAGCAAAGAAGTCATAATACAAATGGAGCAGGGCAACTACCAAAAGATAGAGCAGCCCCAATATTTTTTGGCACGACACCTAGATACTACACCAGCTCTTCAATGCCTTGGTTTTAGTTAAGTTGAGTGAGTTTACTTGAAATAGGTTGACCAATATATTCAATAACAAAATCACTCTAAAAAAAATCTATATTCTAACAAATTAGTTTTCTTCTACAATAGAATTCTGAAACAGGGCAGCCAGAACTAATCATATACTTAGGAAATATTCCGAAATCTTTCTCAAAGGCTAGGCTCCTAGAAGAACTGAAGAAAGGCCATTTTACAGGTCATCTTTCAGAATGAAAGAATTAGGGCATATGAGTTATCTTCTCTCCATCACCACCAGCCATGGTCATACTGTCACACATCTGCGTGCTCATATTTGAAATAAATCCAGATACTATTTAATGTCATGATATTGGCCTTCCTATTGCCCCTCTACTTATTCTTGATAGGTATAGACAGATATAGATCTTGAGTAAAGGCAGTCTTTAACACATGAACCCCAGAATTTCCAAGGTACATGTTGTTAAGGCTTCCCCATTACCACTGGGGAAAAGTTATACCCTGAATGCCAATCTAGGTCCTCACCTACCTAGGTTCACACACTTTTCTCTACCCCAACCTCATTATAAGAACTCCTCAGTCTCGTGTCCCCAACACTTCCCCCAACCTTCTTCCTGTATTTACTCACCCAACTTTATCCACTAGACAATAAATGTTATAAGGCCAAGGACTATGACAGTCCTAGCAACTATCATATACCTAGTGACTATTGCAATACCTGATATGTAATGGGTGCTCAGTAAAAATGTGTAGAAGGGATGAATGAAAAGATGAATAAACAAGTTTCAGAACTTAGATAAGAAAGCTCTAGAAGAGAGCTGGACTCAGAAGTTCTAGTAATACAGTAATTCAATCATACAGTGACCTAAACAGGCTTTTGTGGACTTGCCTTTGAACCTAAACAGTTTTTAAAACATTAACATTGTTTTTTGGGAAAACTCACATTTTAAATGACCAATTCCCCTGGCCATTTCCACATTTGACTGTGGCAACCTTAAGAGCAGGGAAAAAGTCTCCGTCCTTGAATCTACTGATAAAATTAGTCTATTGGTTGCCTATGTCTTACATTTCCATATAAATTTTAAATGAATCTTACATTTAAAGCACAGAGCTTTGCTTATAACAGAATATCACTGCCATTTTTTGATCATATGATGTGAGCTAGATACTTGGGTCCACATCTATTCTCAAATCCACAATCACCGAGTTTCCCAGCACTGAGAACTTCCAGAAATATGTGGGGACATTCCAAGTAGTCACAATGACTGAAGGAAGCACATGGCATTGAGGGACATGCCACCAGGTATGGGACAGTTCCACACAACAAAGAACTCTCCCACCCCAAATGCCAATGGTGATGAGCTAGAGGAAGCAAAACGTTTAACAGAAGTGAGGTACCATGAGGAGAGGAGAAGAACAAAGGTTAACAGCGTAAGTTTTGAGTCAGGCAGACTAAGGTTCAAACTCCCCTGAGCAAGTTCCGCAGTCTCCTTCAGCTTCTGCTTTCTCATCTGTAAAGAAGTTCTATAATAGCACTTACTCCATACGGTTTTTGAAAGCAAAAAAATAAGATCATGTCCAGCAGATAGTAATATTGGCGCTCACTAAATGTCAGTTATTATTATTATTATTGTTATTTTATTTTTTTAATTGGGGAATTGGGGGAGGGGAACAGTGTTGGGGAATTGGGGAAGGGGAATAGCCAAGTTGTTGTCCTTCAATCTTAGTTGTAGAGTACGCAGCTAGCTCAGCTCCAAATCCAGTCGCCATCAGGCCACTCAGCTCAAGGTGCTGTGTTCAATCTTAGTTGCGGGTGGGCGTAGCTCACCATCTCATGCAGGAGTTGAACCGGAAACCTTGTTGCTAAGAGAGCAAGCTCTAACCACTGAGCCATTCAGCCACCTGTTGGCAGCTCAGCTCGGGTGCAGCTCACCGGCCCATGTGGGAATCGAACCAGCAACCTTATTGCTCAGAGCTTGCACTCTTAACCAACTGGGCCACTCGGCCAGCCAATGTCAGTTATTATTTACTTGTCCTGAAAAGCTCTCTGTTGTTAATTCTTAATTAAAACATTAGATCATGTCCCTCTTCTGCTTTTAGGGTGACAATGTAATGCGTCTTCACTCCCCACACCAACACTTGCAAAATTTCCCCACGTGGCGTCAACTAGTGCTTAGGCAACAAGCACATTATGCTTGGCTCTCTTCTGCATGTCGGATTCTTTCACTTGTTTCGTCTTATTTTTCATTAATAAACCAACATACTTACCACCCTTTGCCCTGCTATCAGAATAACTGTTGCTGTTTTTAGAACTTTTTGAGTGAGTCCCCAGGAAGACACTTGCAGACTTGTTTTTTTGGGTATAAAAAGTCAATACCTCCTCCAGTTCAGCCTCACTGAAATGAGAGAAAGTAAGGTCAGAACAGGAAGTTGTTCTGGAAAATCTTTCCACCGGGTTTTATTATGGAAATGGAGTTAGCTGGAGAAGAGGAAAATGAAAAGCACCAGCTGAAAACTCCCTAGTAATAGATGGTTAAACACAATGTAAGTAAAGCAATCTAAAAACTTAAAGAACGATAGGGTTTCATTCATTCCACAGTGAAGTTTCTAGTGCTGCACTGTCTATTATGGTATGTGACTATTTAAATGAATTAAAATGAAATACGCTTAAAGATTCCTCAGTAACACTAGCCACATTTCAAGTATTCAGTGGCTACAACACAGAAAATTCTATCGGACAGCCAAGTTCTAGGTCAGGGATTCACCAACTACGGGCTGTGGGCCAAGCCTGACCAGCAGCCTGTTTCTGTAGGGCTCCAAGCTAAGAACAGTTTTTCTATTTTTAAATAATATACTCTAAAGACTACACGTAGTCCACAGAGTCTGAAGCATTTATTATCGGGCCCTTTTCCGTGTGCCCACCCCACTCCTCAATAATTGAAGTATTACTACATTCACTAAAGGAGCCACCCGCCATTTTAATTGTCTTTGTCAATGATAAGGAGATGCACCAGTGTAACAGTGGACGAGTTCCCTAACCATCTGTACAATGAAGGAGACTGAACTAGACGGCCTGAGGTCCCTTCAAACACTGAAATTATATGCACTTTATGAAGAACATCCACAAAATGCAAAGTATAAGGAAATAGATGAGGGATACGTATTATGCATGGGTTTTGTAACATCTACAGCAACCTCTCAATGGCTTTTTACATTTGGTTCCTGGGGCCTAGCTATGTTCCAGATAAGCGGCCTTCGAATAAGCAAAATATTCCTGCATGATTACAAAGAACCTAGATCTGAAGTACACGCCGTAATGATGGCCTAGGAAATGGTGTCTACAAATCTCAGAGTGAACCCCAAGGTCTCCCAAGTAGCAAAGTGTCACAAGATAAGGACCTCAAGTTAACAGCTGAAGACCTAAAGCTGAGGCTGCACATAGGCGGCCACCTCTGCCTGCCTGTGCGTGTTTTCCTTGTCCCTTCACAGAATGCAGAAAGGGGAGGTTAAGGCTGGTCACATACGAGCCGCTTTACACTGCCTGCCTCATCCTCTGCCCACCTCATAGTTTGTTTCCCTTTCCAGTCCTGAAGGTGTTGGAAGTTACCAGCCCTGACAAACGCATCCACGTACCACCTAAATGTAATAAAAGAACTGACACTACCACTCATTTCCGATAATCAACATTTAATCCTCAATCAGGAGTAAATATGTTCCCATATACTTCATCTCCAAGTCTGTATCCAAGTTAATGGAATACATAATTCACTTTTAGTGTCCAGTTAGGGCTGGTAGGGAAATAAATGCACATCACTTTTTAAAAGGTGTTTTTTTATTTTCTTTTTTCATATTTTAGAGATTTCGAAGACCCCTAAGGGGAACTAGAAATTAATATTTTTACTTAAAAGTACAGCCATTTTCTGAACATAATCTAGTTTGCCTTTTTTCTTTTGTTTTTATAATGTTGACGTGAGGAACTGTTTCTTGCTTTGTTTCTATACCTGCTTTATCAATCATATTACTCAAGACCCAAGAATGTCAACAAAGTAACATCACACAATTACGAACTCCTAAAAAATGATATTATTTGTTTGCTGTGAGTTTAAGTACATGATACTGAAGCTATGGTTAGGTCTATACAAGGTATTAAACACGGATCAAACTATGTTGGTGACTGATATTCCACCACCCGATTTAACTTCACAAATTAACAAGAGTTGATTTTTCTACCTGGTTTTCTCTTCATTCTGATTTTGATGTTGAAGACTAATTAATGGGGTTATACAGATGGTTTATCCTTTATATTGGTGGTTTTGTACAAGTCTGTTTTAGAAAAAGGCCTTCCAGTATAAATCATACGAAATTTAAAACTGAATATCTTTGTCACCTCTTCCTTTGGAAACACATTGCAAATGGACAAAATGGCTTGCTGATTTGTATCAAGACAGAGAGTTGAATGCTGACATTTTTCAATCCCTAAAGGCTAACCCCAGGCATGAAGGACTTGTTCTATTTTATATAAATTAGGCATAACCCTCGCAGTGCTAAGAAACTGCCAATTCCTCAACCCACTCAATGTAGGCAAAATTTGGTCATCTCCCTGCATCAGTAGGTCAGGGTTAAATTCAGATCCAGTAAACACTAAAAGCTTCTAACTTCAACTTTCCAAAGGACTTTCTCAGCACCTCGAGTGCTGTGTACTTTGAAGGCCATCTAGAAACACAGCCCAGATACCCAGCAGCAGTGTTTGGATAACTGAAACCATGACAACAGCAACATAATTGGCTGAGATATGGAGAGGCCAAGCCTATGAAACTCCTTTTTTTTTTTTTTCCCTTCTAACAGTGATTTTACTCACATCCATATGTTAGAAACAAGGGAATATTGGGAATTCAATGGGGACATTACAGAAGATGGAATAAGACAGCTTTTATGAATTAAGAATATTTTCTACCTTGCATGTCTGATGAACTTCTGAAAGTTTTCTGCGTTCACCCCATCTTCCTCTTCTTCCTCAAGTTTCTTCTTCGATTTCTTTTCAGCCATTTGTTCTGTTTCCTACCCAGCCCCAACCCCCACAGAAAAACAACAAGATAAAACTGACTCCTGATAAATGCACACTTCATCATCTGGTTTCATGCCTTGGGTTCCTCTGCCCTTACAGTAAAGACATTTAATTCCTCATGTACTTTTGTCATTTGTAAATTTGATATATTGCTTTCGGCCATTATTTCATTAAATACTGTGGAATTTCCAAATAAAAGTTAGAATAAATGTAATTTTTTAATCATGTGTTTTACTCTCTACTTACACAGCCCACAGAGAAAAGAGCTTTTTATAGTAGCTGAGTAATGTCTGTGGTCATACCTGCAGCTTTAACAGTATGACAACAGAGATGCTGCATTTTGTTACAATTAGGCAGAGGAAGACACTCCTGCACCAGCATCCAAAATGAGTAATTCTTCACTTACATGAGACATCCAAAATTCTCAACAGATCTAGAATAAATTGTGGCTATATATTTGGTTGTATTAATATTCTACTAACCATTCCATGGCTTTTTAAAAAGTCATTTAAATTTCTAGGCCTCAGTTTTCCCTTCCTCAAATGACCATTTATTTTATAACCAAAAATTGATACTTCTAAAGCATTCTGAGACCCTTGGATAAAAGACGCTTTGCAAAACATTCTAGTCAAATACTATATTTCCTGGGTTTGGTTGTAAAATGATGTCACTGGTTAAAATGTCCTAGAGAACAAAGTGTAACTCTCTCAGGAAAGAAGATTGTCATTCCATTAAATCCACGGTTCAGATTTGTTCTCAAATAGTCCATTCACCACTGTGTACATGCACAATAACAACAATGCAAATTCACACAGCCTCAGGAGTCATCTCAAGTGCAATAGCGCTCCAAAGGAATATGCCTTTTGGTAAGAACTAACTATGGCCACTGGGTCTTCAGAACTGGTAAGCAGCTTTTCAGCCAAGCTGGGTTAAGGAGTGAGGTCCTGCTCCCCCTCACACACAGGGGATAATGAGGCTAGAAGAGGGAAGAAGGACCTCTCCACCCAGTAGGACACAGGCTTCTAGCCTGTTTCTGACAGCGTGTGGCAATCTAAAGCACAAAACCAATAGGTAATCACGTACCTTGTTGTACACAATGATAAAGTCACCCAGTTGATGGGCCAGGATTCGTCTGCGTTCCAGAAGTGCCAATCGTCGACTGGGTAACACCATCCTCAGCGAGTGCTGAAGGTTGCTGGATGCTCGCTTGAGGAAGCGAACCACTAGTTCCTATAAATTAAGTCATTGGGGGAAAAAAGACAGGGATTGTGCTAAACGACAGAAGACAAGCTATCAAGGGATTACACAACAGCGATGTGAGAAGAAGCATATTACACATTTCAGCAAGTAAGACCCAGAGCAAACATGTCAGGTATAAGAAGGCTATAGAAAGACAAAACAAAAGAAACTTATTCTCTGTCCTCAATAAACTATAAATCAGAACATCAAAATCAAATGTGTATGTAAATAACTGTAATAAAATAGTGGCTGTAAACATTAATTCGTATACGAATAGCACCATTCAAAGTGCAGATATCACGTCTAATAGGGTGATCAGGGAATGCAGCATTCAAGGATAAGTAATGGAAACTAAAACCATGGCAGCAGATGAAATCATCAAAGGTGAGAAGGCAGAGAAAGAATACAGAAATAGTAATGCTTAGACATAGGAAAGAGGAGGAAAAAATTCAGAAAAACAAAACAAAAACCAACAACTCCCCCATCCCTACACACACACACACACACACACACACACACGAACCCATGGTAGAAAACATCAGAAATGTAGAAAGAAACCCAGGAGAAAATAGTGTCATGGAGTAGAGGGAGAAAAGGGCACCACATCAAAGCTTCCAAGAGGCCAGAGCTGGAAAGGCCCTCAATCTGGCCAGTACGAGATAATCTCAACAGAATCCTTTCAGTAGAGAAAAAGAAATAGAAGGAAGCAGTTAAGAAATGCAAGGATAATGAAGAATATAGTGAGGAGCAGAAACTACTGATTTTAAAAGTTTAGTGATAAAGGGAAAGAAAGGCATTACTATGCTTGAAAGGTGATAAGAGTTTCTCTTTTCTCCCCCAAGGATAAGGGAGCTTTTAGAGCTCGTGTTGGTAAGGAGGGCACAGTGGAAGGTCATTAAGGGGAGAAAGGATGCATCTCACTTGAGATGTGGCAAAGGATCTTGAAATCTGAACAGACACCAATCAGATTCTTCATAATGTCACAAATGCTTCAAAGAGAGACTTTGCAAGGACCAAGGTCTTAGAGATAGTTGTTTCGCCCCCACTCCCTACCCAAACACAAAGAATTGCCCTAAGATGATAGATGTTGAGACCTTCTATTGATGTGCCTTCTGTGAATTATGTGATCAAGAATCTCTAAACTGAACCTGGACCAGAGAGGCAATCCAACACCTACCTCCTTCATAAACAAGACCACTGCCACAGTCCTCAGAGAATAGGTTAGGGTTTGCTCTCTAGACATATTTTCAGAAAGAAATGCACAGAGCTGGTTTTTGCAGTGATGATCCTAAATACTTTTGTAAAAAGCCCCAGAGAAATCCTGTGTGAATTCCAAGCCAGCAGTTCCAGTGGTTCTTCTCTTCTGAGCTATTGTTTTTCTTCTTGAATCTGATTTTGGTTCATTGTCCTTTGGTGCCAATTTACTCCAGTATAAAGAAACAGCCTCATAACCAGAGGGTTGGGTTTCATAGTTTTACTCTGCTGTCGTTGCTATAGGGTGGTTTAAGCTGTTACATTAAAACATTATTTTTTCACAGTGGAGTAGACAAACTGACTCTCAAAGAGGCAGTTTCAATTTTCCACTTGGAAAGAGCAGAGCTAACATTTTCCACTGATGGTTGAAAGATTATTCACAACACACAAGGTTTTATCTCTGGGTTGTATTGGCTACTTGAAATTCACAAGTTGTTTTCTGGGATATTCATCATGATTTTATAATAGGTCTGGCATACTGTATACCTCTTGTATGTGGAGAACTGAAAACTACAGTAGGGTCACCACTCAGTCGGACAAAGGGTGCAGCTTTCACAGAGTTAAAGGTCACTCTCTTCTCGGTGACACTTTCCTGTAGTTTAAAAGGCTAAGGAAGGGCTATGGTTTCTTCTATAAGCATTGACCTTACCAAAGAAATGGAAGCTCCCTGTCATTGTGATCCACAAAGAAAAACCTTGCTAGAATGTTAAATTGTAGGCATGTTCAAAAGACTGATATACAGTGAAAATTATTATGAGTTTGTTTCCAGTAATCTCAGAATTTTATAAAGTTACAACTAGTAAAGAAAATGTTAAATTCTCAGAAGGCCTATGATAAAGTGTTGACTTTCAAAGAGCTAACTCGACGCCCCAGGACAGAAAAGTAAGTGCCTTATGACTCATGGATACAATGAAGGAGCAAATAATGTACAATTATAACATCTGGTTCAAGTTCCAGTTTCAACGCACATAAGCTGTGGGACAACAGGCAAGTTACTTTGCTTCTTTAGGTCTTTGTTTCCTCATCTAAAAATGGGAATGATTGTGCCTCCCTCAACGAGAGAATACATGATGTTACTTGAAAAAGGACTCTGTAAATTGTTATTCTTTTTGAGGGCTTTGCACAGGGCCTGATATCGAATGAGCAATCAATTTCCGTTTTTAGAATGAAATAAATTGATGCCATCAACACACAGTGTGACGAACATGGCTCCAGATCAAAGATTTACTTCACATTAAAGTGAGAGAAATCTACAGACTATGAAATAATTATTTTTTCAGAAGAATATATTGCTCTTTACCTTAATAGAAAAAGGAAAGTAAAAAGGTTCCAACAGGAAGAGCCTCACCATCTGCTCATCTTCTTTGGCAGCCCAACTGGCACTGAACGTTTGACCTCCACTGTCTTTCATCAGGCGAATTTGAACATGCTGGAGATAGGCAGAGAATGCTATTCGAGCCTGCACTTTGCTATAGAAATCCAAAACAACACACCGTTATGAGACAGAATGGAAAGCCTACCCAACGTGTACTTGCCTCTCTCGGGGTGGACTTTGAGGAGCCTTCCATTAGGATGGCAGAGAAAAATGAAGCCCACCGTATAGTCAGCGAACCAAGATTCCTTCTAAACAGCATAGGAGGGGTTTTTATTTTTCTATTAAAATAATCAGAGGTGGAGAATCCTATTTATTTTCTCAATATTACCATGGGGTGTAAAATTAAGCAAGAACAGAAAATCAAGTTTCCTACTCTCTTAAACCTTATCTCTTGAACTTTTTAACAGCTTTCTTGGGGGTAACGGATGGGGGACAGTACTGAATCTCCACAAGAGCTTGTACTAATGTAGAAACATTTTTCTGCCTTGGAGGCCCTTAAGAACATACTTATCAATGAGTGCAAAAGTACGGCTTTTGCTATGGCAACTAATATTTCTAGTGTGCAAGAGCCTCCAAAGCAGGAAATAGATAAATCCTACAAAAGGACTTTTGAGACCAAATTTTAAGGTCATGCTTTTCTCAAGTACAGGACGGGAGTGGCTGGAGCCCAGAGCAAATGAGCGAGGTCCAACAACGTTTGGCATAGACAGGCTAGGACCAGCCCAGATGTTCAGTGGGAGAAAGAAATCTCCACATACAGGGAAAAGCACCTCAGCGCCATCGCTGAAGAAGCCAGCCGATTTCTGCCTGGTGGTCTCTGCTGGAAACAAGGAAATCTGATAAGCTCTGGTGTGAGAGACAGATGTACCGGAGAGACCATGATGGCTTTCACTTCAGGGGCTAATTGGAGCAGATCTGTTTTCTGTCGGGAGAGATTTTGGTTACTTCAGCTGATCGGCCTTCTGACGCTCCAGCCAAAATGACATCAGCGAAGATTAGGGCCCAACACAAACTTTGTTTACAATCCTCATACATGTGATCACTGAATGCTTTCTACTCACTGTGCCTCCAAGGTTAGGATGAAGGACTCATCCAAGTAAACTGGAAATCCCAAGAGGGTCTAGCTTCTATGTGTGTGTGTGGGAGGGACTGGAGGGCAGGGGACTCAGGTTGGGGAGATTTGCTTTTGAGAGTGGAACACGTAAGATCTTCAGAGCATGAACTATAAGTAAGGCTACATCTTTGCTAGTAATAGACAGTTTATGGGACTACAGTATGGTTTTGAAAGAATAAATCTGTAGTTTCAAATGGTTCTCAACAAAGACAGCAATTATATTCTTGTTCACTTGGAAACCATACACCACTTTCCCCTCAACCGTTCCCATAAGCTTTACCTCCACAACAAATTAATTTCAAGTCAAAATAAATGAAAAAGACTCTCAATTTTGGTCAACGAATTTTCTTGCAATGTAATACGCTAGAAACGGCACCTCCAAATGCAGCAGCCGCAGCAGGCCCAATTTTACTGATTAACCCTTTAACAGTAACACATAAAAGTCTTTGGATAAGGGAACCATTGCTTGCAAGTTGAGATTTCAATCATTTTTGTTGCGAATCACTGTTGCAAATCAAACGAACAAGTACTGAGCTTTCCACCCTTGTTAAAGAGATCCCTGGGATGTTAATCCTGAGTTTGTCCCTAAGGTCCTGGACACATCAGTCAGCTGGTCATGTGAAACCAACCAACCAAAAAAAAAAACAAAACACACAAAAAAAACCAAAAAGAAAAACCAGATGAAAGACCGAAAACTGCAATGATTTACACCAAAGAAACCTACTTTTTAAAAAATAAAAGCCTATGTGAATCCTCAGGATACAAAATATACAACGTGGGGGTTGCGGCCTGGCGTCTTTACACTTTGCCATGGACCTCCCCCAGACCTCCCATCCATACGGAGATGTCCCCCAGAATGATGGGCAACTCCAGGAAATAGTCTGAAAACCACTGATTTATATTAACACACCCTGCAATTACAACAGTTTACTCACTGAAAGTGAGATCCATAAGATTTATGAAGAAATAATTTCTTTCCATAACAGCAAAGTAGAATGTTATTGCTGGAAAAGACCTTAGAATAGTCCAGTGGTTTTCAAATGTTCTATTTCAGTTCAGTGGAATCTTTTTTCCCCTCCAGAAAGCACAGTTTGAAAAACACTTGTCTAACCCCATTCCGTGGCCTAAGAGAAAAGGAAACTGAGGCGTAGAAAAGCTCTCTGACTGGCCCATGATCACACAGCCAGTTGTTAAGCCCCACGAAGCCAGAGCCTGGGTCTTCTGTCCAAGTCCAGGGTCCTCTCCACTAATGCAATTACTCTCATTCTCACGACACTGTTCCAAACCTTAACTCTATCAAACCCCTACCTCCCCCAAACCCCAGTCTCACCCTCCACCCTGCAGTATAAGAATTGACTTCTAACTTAGAAAATAAAGGCCGTCGTGCATAAATACATAAACTTCCTTCCCTTTTAACATGTAACCACTGCATTCACCCCACAGTGCTTGCTTTCTGACTTACAGGGAGAGCTACCCCTCCACTGGCCTCTTTCCACCTTCCTTCAGGACCCTTCTCTATCAATATATCCACGTCTGCATCTATCCTCTTCCTGTCAAATCCTTCCCCTAGTCTATAAACACCAGAATCCCTATCTTTAAAACAAAACAAAAAACCCTTTCTCTTGGCTTGCTCTCTCTGATGCATTCTCACCTTCCTTTTATAGCCAAATCTTCTGAAAATATTGGTGCCTTCCTATTTCCTGAACTCACAAGTTCTCTTCCACCCAGTGTGCCTGCTCTAGGTAAAAAACTGCAGGAGTCTCTCTTTACTCCTCATCCTAACTTGGGCTGTCTGAGGCACTCTACAGCTTGAAACTCCTGCAGCTTTCACCAAACTACTCCCTCCCAGTTTTATGCCTATCTTTCTAACTGCTATTTGTTGTCTCCAATGTTGTGAAACGCTGGTTTCCCCCAGAGCTCAATTCTCTTCCTTCTCTCCTTGTCTATGCCTGCTGAACTAAACTGAATTGGACAAGCTCATCCATTCTGAAGTTTTAAACTATCACCTATACAATCCCGTCCAGCTCTCATCTTCAAAGCTGTTTTCACCTGTCTCCTGGACGTCTTCATCAGAGAATTTCCACCTCGCTGTCCCAAACGAAACACATTATTTCTATCATGAAGCCAACACCTATGCTCCTTATCTTGTTGACTGACAGCATCCACAAGTTGCCAAATTTGGAAAAGCCATTCTCTTTGGAGTTCTTGCATCTATAGAGACCTAGCGCTGTCAATTTTAACTTGCAAATTTCATTAAGTGCGCCCCATTCTCTCCATTCCTATAGCCATTGCTCTGGTCAAGGCCTTCGTCTTCCTGGCTCGGGACTACTGTAACAGCCCCTAACTCACCAGTTCTCCTCTTCGCGGTCACTGTCCCACAATGAAACCAGAATTTACTTTCTAAATGACCTGTTCATTCATCTGCTTAAAAACTATCCATCTAAAAAATCAAGTCCACGCTCCTCTTAAAGCCCTATATGATTGAATGACATCCAGTTTTTAGTCTCATTTCTTACCACACCCTTCTCTCCATATAACTCCGCTGCACTAACCTGCATTTCTCACTCACCAAGCTCATTCCGATTTCAGGGCCTGTATAGTTGCTCTTCTCCCTGGAATATTCTGCCCCCTGATATTCATATGACTTATCTCCTTCTCATCAGTCGGGACTCACCTCAAGGGTTACCTCCTTGTGCCCAAATACCACAGTCTAAAGGAACCTCTGCCCAATTACACTCTAACACTGCACCCTGTTTCACTGTCTTCATAGCAACCTCAACCATAGCAAATCAACCATAGCAAATGCCTGAAATTACCTTGCTTCTTCATTAACTGTCAGTCTTCCCCCAGCCTGTCTTGTTCTCCATTGTAATACTATACAGCCCAGTAAAGCTGCCGGCTCAGAGCAGGTACTCAGTGAATATCGGTTGAGGGACTGAATGGATAACTGTGCTATCACACCTCTGTACCTTTGTCTCCTCTGCTAGCACTCCCACACGTAGTTGTCACCTCCTAAACCTCCTGAAATCCTAGTCATCAGTCAAAGCCTGGTTCAAATACTGCCTCCTTGCTAATGTCTCTCTAGTATTCCCAAGCGAGACCAATCACTCCTTTTACTGTGTCCTACGAGGACTCTGCCCATATTGGGGTCATCGCCCTTGCTCTTTAAGTGTCCCTATATTAAGCCATGAGCTTCTGAGCTCCTTGTCTCAGTCACCTTGTGCTCTTAGTGACTGACTGACTGACACTAAAACCCAACAAGAATGTGTTCGGCCAGTGAGACCTGGGTTTGTATCATAGCTCTATACTTTGGATAAGTAACTACTCTCAGGCTCAGTTTTCTTAGTCATAATAATAGTATCAAGTCACAGTAATTACTTCACAGGACTACTGTGAATAAGAAACAAGAAATGGCTATAAAGCCACCAGCACAGTGCCTGGTCCACAGTATATGTCAGCTGTTATCAATTGCACTAATATAATTACCAAAGGTACGTACCTGAGGTTTCCATGATCCTGCAGAACCTGCATCAGGCTAAATTTAGGCTCTGGTTCCTGAGTCTCAATTTTGCAGTGCTGTTCACCTTTATTAGTCCATTCAGAAACTTTCATGGCATTTTCTTTGGGTGGATTTTCTACCATAGCAGTCAATGAGGGTGTGTATTTGGCTTGATTTTCTCCAAGGGGCCCTGCAAACTCCTCCTGGGAAGCTTCCTGTTCTTCATCTTCATTGTCTAATGCAACTTCCTCCTCCTCTTCACTCTCTGTCTCAGCTTTAACACTCATTTCGGCTGGTTGGGTAATCACTAAATGCGAAGAATCACTAATGTTGCTGAAAAAAGGATTAAATTTTCCTCTCTCCCAATACCTTAGTAAAAGCCCGTATCTAAATCAGACCACAAATAACATACAAAATTAACAGAGAAACATGTCACTCTCCAATCTTCTACAGTCTAAAAACCTAGTTAGTAATGATCTTCATTACAACTGACGTTTCTCATCGTAACACCAATGGCTCTGTCACAACTTAAGGCAAAAAAAGCATCTTAGTAATCTCTACAGTGTGTTAGAGGCTTTTGGAAGGAAGGGCACCTTTCATGGAGGTACGAGGAGCAGGGGAATATCTTTCTAGCTTACGTTTATTCATTCTCCTTCTCCTCCACTGCCTTGGAAGGTCTATGAGAACAAGGATCATATCTTTTTTATTCACTAATGAACCCCAGTGACTGACGTGACTGATACAGGTGCTCAACAAATGAGGGAAGGACGAAGAGAAAAGTCAGTCAGTGACAAACAGGTCTGGGGGATCCTGGGAGAGAAAGAAACTCCCTTTCTCTGTGTATGTTTAAAATATTTACACCATTAGGCAATGTCAAAGGATCAACTGGACTTAATACCTAATCATGAAAAACCTGAACCATAATGCTCAGGATTCTACTAAACTTAAGCTAATATGATTTCTAAAGTATCAGGTGTTATATGAGGCTGAAATAAGAGCAAAAGCCAAAATGTATGTGCTTTGGATATTCTTCACTACAAAATATTATAGGATGGAAGGTTTAAAAACTTATAATCCTTTTGAAATTCAGTTTCAGAGAAAAAAGGCTATACAAACAAATTAAGTGTATGTGATCAGGAAGGTTGTGATTCATTGAGTGTTAATTAAGCAGCTGATCAAATCAGCCTGGCAGGAACCACATAATGGACTTTGGTGAAGGCTCACCAGCACGTACCTGGGTATTTTGGCCTCACTGCCCTCAATCTGCCATTCCGTCGTCTACGCTTTCGCACCTCCAAAGACAGGAGCTTCCTCTCATAAAGAGCAGCATGCAGCTTGGCTTTTGAATTCACACTCTCTACCTTCAATTCTGGTGCTCCATCAGTAGTTATTCTATGGGGAAAAAACAACCTTCAGAAAGTTCTCTTCTTTACTCCAAGACTAAGCTTGACAGACATCGGTAATGATGACAGACTGTGCATGGTAACTCTAGTGAATTCTACAAGGTTTGACAGATCAATGGGAATACTGGCATCTACAGTAAAACTTCACCAATGTCCTGTCTGAATCTGTTAAATGTTCTGAACAAAAATATATCTGCAGACAATGTTTAAGTATTTTTAAGTGTTCAAGTAATACTGGCTAACTATTTATTGCAGAGATCATAAAGTGCTACCCTATGTACCTTATACCTTAAGAATGACTGGGAGATACTGGTGACATTTTAATTATGAGGCTGGGTGGTGGCTAGAGGTGTTTATTTTTTGTTCTTCATTATAACTTAGAATTATACAAATATTTTTTGAATGTATACAGTATTTAATAAATACACTTAGCAGAGGTTGAGATGAGGGAAGGAATGTATGATAATCTGAATACGGCAGCACAGAGCTGACTGAGACTCACAGGGGAAGTGTCTCAGGGAAAAGTTACTAAGACTTTGGGACGCACCAAGTCTCAGGCATTCCAACATGAGGAACTCCGCCCTTAGAGCCTACTTAGTTAGAAGAGAGGGAGGGGAGAGGAGGCAGGGAGCCTTAGGGGTTGAGTACAGGTCAGGAGTCAGGGTCAGAGGCACAGACAAGAGGGAGCAGCAGATGTAGGACAAGGCCACATTCAACTGGGTCATGAATGGGAAATGCGATGGGGAAAGGGGGTGGCAGCAGCTAAGTTAGGCATTAAAGTAAGGTAAATCACAAATTAGGGAAGTGACAGGTATCAGGCCCAATCCAGACAAGGACCCAGCAAAGTACAGCGCAGCAGAGAAAACCAGGTCCCCCAAGAGAGAGAGAGGGTCCTTGGTTATTGAGTCAGAAAAGGAGTACACATGTTAGTGACTAAAAGCAGGTGGCCAAGTCTGGATGCGCAGAACTCAAGTTCTAAGTGGTTGGCTTTGAACTCTAGAACTCAAAGCATATTCCACTTGAGGTCAAGGAATCCTCATTCCTCTGGGAGTTTTCAGTCTGAGTTTAATGGAGAGGCTGTGTCTTTTGGTCTATTTAGGACTTTTAGGGATTTCTGGGTGGATGAGCTAGATAGTGAATCTTTTGGAGGCCTTCTGTCTAGAACAGGAAAATGAGCCAAGAACAGGGAAGGTTTTGACACGAGGGGCAGAAACAGGAAGCAAATTAATAAACTTAAAAATAGTTCAAACTCTGCTTATGAAGTCCGAGCAACTCAATATTGCCCCCCCCCGCGTCTCTCTCTCCATCTCTCTCTGTCTCTTTCTCTCTCTCTCACACACACACGCACAGTTGTGCAAATCAATTTTTAGACAAATAATAAAGAGAATAAAACAAATCTTTTATTTTTAAAATAACAGCTATGAACTATTTATTTTTTAAATAAATAGCTATGAGCTTCTAAGAAACCCTGAACAGACAGATAAATCCTAACTAGTACAAGGAATAGAGGTAGGAATGCTGGGAAAAGTGTGATAATATGATAAACAGATTTATATGAGGGTAAGGAACACGCTTGCCTTGTTGATCACTGGATCAGTGACGCGTACAAGACTGCCCAGCATACAGCTGACACGCCATAAGTAATTTCAAATTAATAAACAACTGAATTTCCTATAAATAATTTCTAATACCTTCTAGCTACATAAATTTCATTTTATTTTGCCAATATTTTATTATGAAAATATTTAAACAAACAGAAGTTTTTAAATTGTATAGTGAACATCCGTTTACCTACTGCCTAGTTTCTACAATGAATATTTTACTATATTTGATTCATCATATATATCCAATCTTCCCTTCTTCTACCCATCCATCAACTCGTCTAATTTTTTTTTTTTTTAGCTGAGCCATCCTGCCACCTGTTGGCAGCTCAGTGGCTGCTCAGCTCGGGCCGGTACTCGAACCACTGTTGCTCAGAGCTCAAACTCTTGAGCGAGCTCTTAACCAACTGAGCCACTCGGCCGGCCCCTTGTCTAATTTTTAAAGCATTCCAAAGTCACACAGACATCAGTGCACTTTGCTCCTACATACATCACCACGCATGTCATTAGTATCTAGAGTTCAATATTTGTTTTGGGTTTTGAGGGGGTTGTTGGGTGAGCTGAAAATTACACACAATAAAATACCCAAATATTAAATTTCCGTTTGATGAGTTTTGACAAACGCCCGGAAGTATATAACCCAATGTCTAACATTACTGTCCCCTCAGAAAGTTCTCATGCCCCTTGCCAGCCAACCCCTCTCTCACACTCACTCCCAAAGGAAAGCACTGTTCTGAATTTTTTCATCACACATTAGGTTTGCCTGTTCCAGGACTTCATTAAAATGGAATTGTACAGTGTGAACTCTTTTGTGTAAGTACCCTTTCATTCTGCATGTTTCTGAGATTCATCCATCTTGTGTGTATTAGTATTGATCCCTTTTTATTGCTAAGGATTAGTCCATTGGATGAGTAATCCACAGCTCACCTACTCACCTGTTGTTAGACACCTAGGTTGTTTCTGGTTTGGGAATACTATGAATCAAGCTGCTATAACATTTCTGTACAAGTCGTTTTGTGGTTATATTTTTTACTTCTACTGGGTAAAGATCTTGAAGTAAAATTTTCGAGGCTTTCTAAAAAACTGCCAGGCTTTTTCTAAAGTGCTTGTACCAGTTTATGATGCCAATGACAATTTATCAGAGTTCCATTAGCTCCACATCCTCACCCTCTGATGCTGTCAATCATTCCCGCCTCCTCCCCCCAGGTTTATTGCGGTATAACAAATAAAATTGTAAGATATTTGAAGTGTACAATGTGACAATTTGATATAATTTTAACCATCCTGCTGGATGTTTAGTGGTATCTCATGATTTTAATTTGCAATTCTCTGCTAACTAATACAAAGCACATTTTCATGACCATATTGGCTATTCGACTATAATGGCTTGCCTAGTTACTTTCTTAACAGTATCTTATGATAAAAATTTTTAATTTTGAGGAAACCTAGCTTATCATTTTTTCCTTTTTATTTATTGCTTCCTGTCAAAAAACTTTGGCCAAGCCCAAAGTCACAGACATATTTTCCTCAAGAAGTTTTATAGTAATAGCTTTTATGTTTCTATCTATAAATCATCTCTAATTTTTCTGGGAGATAGAGGTTAGGGTTCATTTTTAAAAACATGATAGCAAGTTCTAGCCCCATTTGTCAAAAAGTTTCCTTTCCCCTCTTGGATTACTTTAAGCCTTTTGTTTAAAGTCAAATGGCCTTATAATAAGTATGGGTCTATTTCTGGGCTCTTTTTTCTGTTCCATTGATCAATTTGCCACAGTTTTGATTACTACAGCCTTATGGTATTTATTTCTTGAAGGCAGGTTCTCTAAGTCTTTTCCAAGATTACTTTGGATATCCTAAGTCCTTCGCATTTCCATAAACAAACACACAAAAAAACCAGTTGGTCAATTTCCACAAAAAATTGGGATTGTACTAGATTTTTAGATGAACTTGGAGAGAATGGATATATACAATATTAAGTCTCCTAATCCATGAACATGGCATATCTCTCCACTTATTTAGATCTTCTTTAATCTCCTTCAGTAATATTTAGTAGCTTTTACTGTATAGGTAGTGAATATATTTTATTAAATTTATCCCTAAAAATTTCATATTTTCAAATGGTATTTTATAAACAGAATTTTAGATTTCACATTCCAATTATTTACTCCTAGCATTTTTTTTAAAAGTATATTGACCTTGTATCCCAAGACCTTGCTAAGTGCACTTACATGTTCTTATATTCTGTAGATATCTTGGGGTTTTCTACTAACCTGATCATGTCATCCAAGAATAAAGATATGTAACTTCTTCCTTTCCAATCTGTATGCCTTTTATTTTTTTCCCCCCTCACTTTGTCATACTGCTTAAGACCCCTAATACAAAAGGAATACAAGTGGTGACAGCAGACATCTTGCCTTATTATTTACTAATTATAAGAGTGAAGCCTTCAGTATTTCACTATTCAGTACAATATCAGAAATGGGTTTTTCATAGAAGGCTTTTCTCAGATTGAAGAAGTTCCCTTCTATTCCTGACTTGCTAAGATTGTTTTCTCATAAACATGTTAAATTTCATCAGATGCTTTTTATTGCATCTAATAAAATGATCATCTGGCTTTTTTCCTTTAATATGGTGAACTGTATTGACTATTTTCAAATGTCAAACCAACCTTGCATTACTGGGGGAAAAAAATCTCCGTTTAGTCATGTGTTATCCTTTTTATATACTGGTAGATTCTATTAGTTAATATTGTTTTAAGAAATTTTGAGTCTATATTTACAAAGATAGCCTGCAATTTTCTTTGTTTTTAATGTCTTTCTCAGGTTTTAGTGTCATAGTGATGCTGGCATCATAACATCAATTGGGAAGTTTCTCTTCCTAGAATTTTTTAGAGAGTTTCTGTAAGAATGGTATTTTTCTTCCTCAAATGCTTGATAAAGTTTACTAGTGAAACTACTGGACCTGGGATTTTCTTTGTAGGAAGGTTTTTTATTACAAATTCAATATTCTGAATAGGCATATGACTATTCAAAATTTCTATTTCAGCTTGCGTCAGTTTTGCTAAGTGTTCCCTCCCCACAAGGCATTTCAGACATTTTATCTAAGTTGTCAAAGTAGCGGAATAAGGTTACCTTAACATCTTTTTTACAGCTGTAGGATCTACAGTGATATCCCCTCTTTCCTATCTCATATTGATAATTAGTGTTCTCTGTTTTTTCTATTGGGTCGTCGGGAAAGTCATGATGCATTTTTGCATTGGAAAACATAGAAAAATACATCATGACTTTCCTGATGATCCAATAGATCAGTCTACATAAGAGTGTATCAATTCTGCTATCTCATCAATGAACAATTGTGGATTTTATTAATTTTATTATTTGTCTTTTATTTAATTGACTTCTACCCTTTAATATTTTTTTTCTTCTACTTACTTTGGGTTACTCTTCTTTTTCTAGTTTCATAAAATGGATATTAGATAAGCAATTTAGTCTTCTTTTTTCTAATATAAGGATTTAAAACTATAAATTTCCCCCGAAAAACTCCCTTACCACACATTTTAATGTATATTTTTAGTATCACTCAGTTCAAAATATTTTATAGGGTTGTCTGAGTGGCTCAGTTGGTTAAGACCTCACTCAAGAGTGAGAGCTCTGAGCAACAGAGTAGCCGGTTCAATTCCTGGCCTAAGCTGAGCTGCCACTGAACTGCCAACAGGTGGCAGGATGGCTCAGCTAAAAAACAAACAAAAAAAGAAATGTGTTGTTTAATTCCTAAATATTTAGAGATTTTCTATTGTTACTGATTTCTAATTCCACTGTGGTCAGGGAACATACTCTGTATGATTTTAATCCTTTTTAATGTATTAAGACTTGTTTCATGTTTCAGCATATAATCTGTCATATACCACCTTTCATTTGCTTATACCTCTATACCATTAAAAAAAAACTCCCTACTGATAGAAATATAAAATGAGTGACAAAAAAATGAAGAAAGGACAAAACTCACTGATCTTTAAATATTCTTATTGCTTAAGATTTTCTTTTTTTGTAATTTCCAAATTGATAGCATATTCTATGACTAAAAACTGGAATAAATTTATAAACTAAGTGTGATCTTATTTGGAAACAAGCTACAAACTTGATTTCTCAGTTTTCCCTTAAATAGTAATCAAAATGTTTTCCTTCTCTAAAGAAAAATTAGATTTACGCTTCAAAAGATTTGGATGAGAAACCAAGTTTATCTATATCCTTAAATGTAAAACAAAAAGCTAGATATACGCTTCTTTCTTATTGTTGTCATTTTTCTTTTTAAAGAGATACAGCACAAAGGGGGTGTACATAATGTCTAAAACCAGAGGGTGCGCGTTTAGGGTAAAGAGTTTTTGTTGTTCTTGGAGTCTTCAGTTGGGCAAGGCCATCGGAGCCCTTCCTCTAAGACCTTCCTCTCCTCTGTCAAAATGAAGAGCCACAGGTATTCTGCACACTTGTACTTCTATGACAAACTGGAAGCAGTTCTGCTCAGTCCTGTGAGGTGCAGAACTGTGTGCCCCAGGTATGTCATGGCCAAAACACAACTTCTTATTTGAATTGAATCAAACACGAGAGTAGCCTTGGAATCTTATTAATATTTTGGTCTCTCTCACATAGCCAAACAAGAATACTGTTATTATCAGTTGAAATGATACACCTTAGTTATAAAAAAGTAAATCCCAAACTTAGTTTGTAAAAAGTTTCCAACGAATAGTGTTTCAGTAGAAAACATTTTTATGTTACTATTCAAGCTGAACCAAACTGAAAACGTTTATATAAAGTACCATGCTTAGTCCATGCATGGTCACACATACACATTGAAAGAATTTCTCAACTTTTAAAAATCAGTTACCGTGTTCTTCCTGTCAACAAGCTTCTTCTTGGGTTTCCCCTACAGAAGTAGAAAGGGTAAATGGGTTAGAACACTATGCAGATATTCTCTCCTGAGTTCATGTGCATGCATGCGCACGTTCTCC